TAGAAAACTTAAACTTTCTGATGTTTCATGATCAGTGTGAACCACTTTCTCAAAGAATAAATAACGAAATCATAATCATTTACAGTCTAAATAGACACCGTGGATGATTTATACTAGGAAGAAATATCCGTCAGTTTTCAGTGGTTTACCAAATTAAGTCACTCCATAATTTAAAACTACAGGTTGAAAAATCTCCCGAGTCCTCCTTTATAGTGACGTACTCTCATTCACATAAGGGAATATTTCATCGCTTTTACGATGTAATGAGCATTTTAGAATGTATTTTAAATTGTGAAGTGAGTTAGAACTCAGTTAAATCCTGAATCCTTTTGAATTGATTATCAATCAACTTTCAGCAACTAATTAATATTATCATGGCACTTTAACCTAATTTTGTGATGGGCGGTATTCGAAGCCTATGTTGTTACACAGACTCCCCATATGCAAGCTCCGAAGTAACTACTGAACAAGAAGACAATCATAAATGGAAAAAATTAATTAGGCTACCAAATCACATGGATAAACGCTCATTTATATTCATATTTCTACGCCTTACTTAAAGACTTTATTGACTGAATGCTTATGAAAAGTCTCTCATTGATAGTACACACATATACTAATTAGAGATTGATAGTTGTAGTCCTAAACATCAATGGTCAGATCTAATCAACACATACAAAAAATGAGTCTGAAGTTAACTCAATTGTACAAGGTAATAACGATCTAAACTCAGTATCAAAGTGAAAAACTTGATGACATTCCCAGCTAGAATAATTTTGGATTCATGTTCTGTAATGATCATCAACATTGAGATATAGGTACATTCAAGTGATAAGTTCTATGCAAAACAAAACTTTCATCCTAAATTGAACTGCTAATCACTATCTATCTCTGTTTAAATCTATTCATTTATTTTAACACAGATATTGGTACAAGGAGGCACCAAATACATATGCGCCACACAGATCTCATTTGAAATGTGTGAGGGCTGTGATAGTGTCCGGGTGCTAAAACCGAAGCAGGTGATTTTCTTAGTGGGCCACACCCGGAGCCTTCGACTTGATAGTCTGATCCACAAGGTAGTGGAGCGTCGTAAGGAGATGCAGTCCCATGGTAACGGGTCACCAACGAATGGTTCATACGCCATTTGTTCCTTCGGGTTAAAGGAGTCCATGTGTACCACTGGTTTGGAATCACAGTTTTCCAACTCCCCTAGGTGAACTCTCCATGTCCACCAACCCAGTTAAAGCGCCTGACAGACATTCGCTTTCCGTCCTCTCAATTCCGTAAACAACACCCCTGCCACGAGAAGGCAGTGAGTAGGACTTCCCTGACAGAGGCTATATACGTGTGACCATTTGAGAGTATTTGTAGAATGAGAGCCTACTGTCCCCACTCTCGGCCATACCAGAGCATTTGAGAGCACTATCTATCTATCTCTATTTTAATAAATAAAATGGATTGATCATTAATCTTTCTGTTACAGATCTATATCAAATTAAAGATAGTAATACACATTTTTCTTTACACAATGATAGACACAACCATATAAATGTAACATTAGAATACGTTTCATTGAGAATGAATATGATAGAATAGTATAGATTAATCGTAAATATTTATCAAGTGTATGTATGTCATTCACTTACATTAGAATGTACAATGGACCTGGTACTTTTAGTTGAGTAAAAAGAAAAGGGTTATTAGATGAATGATTGAATAGGTAACTAAAAAAGATCTTTTAATGATTTGAATAACTTTGAATTTTTCATTGAAGGTCATTGGAATACATTCTGTCCTTTCAATTCTCATTAGATTAGAATATATATATATATATGTATATATACATAAGTGATACCTATGTGGATCAATTAACAGGAACCTTTGAACAGGAAGAAACTAATATTCACAAGTAAATGGTACGTCGTTGTCTACTCACTGAAATGAGCATTTTTGTTTGATAATAGTTAAATGAGATTTGAATGTGTCCTTCTTATATTACTGACTTAAACATTGTGATTATGATTACTGTTATTACACTGTAAGGTATATTTTATACTATTGAGGTTATTCAGAATTAAATTTTGATCCGAGTTTGTTGGTTGATTGAACACCTTCACATTGACTGTAGCAAACATTAAGATGGAATCAAAAGATAGAATGTTAAGAATACTCTTCAACCTTAACATAAAGCTATTTGATTCGAGTCGTGGAAGATATTCTTATTATAATCAAGTTAATAATATTAAAGGATTCTGTTTTGTCCACGTCGCAGTTAAACTATACTCGGAACAAATGAGGATACACTGCAATTCCCACGATACAAAGTAAGAACACCACGCCTGTTACATGTGATAAATTACTAACCTCAAAACTTGACGGCCACGCTAGTCGAACATACACTCATTTAAGTACATTGATTGCATACCCTATTCCGATTATTAATTAAGATGAAATCACATGCATGAAGAATACTTACTTACTTACTTACGCCTGTTACTCCTCGTGAAGGAGCATAGGCCGCTCACCAGCATTCTCCATCCAACCCTGTCCTGGGCAATCCTTTCGAGCTCCGTCCAGTTGTAATTCATCGTTTTCATATCTGCTTCTATTATCCGACGTAATGTGTTCTTTGGCCTTCCTCTTTTTCGCTTCCCTTCAGGATTCCAAGTTAGGGCTTGCCTCGTGATGCAGTTTGACGATTTGCGTAATGTATGTCCTATCCATTTCCATCGTCTTTTCCTAATTTCTTCTTCAGCTGGAAGTTGGTTTGTTCTCTCCCACAGAAGGCTATTGCTGATGGTATCCGGCCAATGGATGTTGAGTATCTTGCGTAGACAGCTATTTATAAATACTTGTACTTTCTTGATTGTGGTTGTTGTAGTTCTCCAAGTTTCAGCTCCATACAGTAGAACTACCTTGACGTTCGTATTGAAGATTCTCACTTTGATATTGGTTGAAAGTTGTTTTGAGTTCCATATGTTCTTCAATTGTAGGAATGCGACCCTTGCTTTGCCGATCCTCGCCTTTACGTCTGCATCGGATCCTCCTTGTTCATCGATGATGCTCCCTAGGTATGTGAAGGACTCTACATCTTCCAGAGTTTCGCCATCAAGAGTGATTGGATTGCTGTTCTCCGCTTTGAATTTGAGGACTTTAGTTTTCCCTTTGTGTATGCTGAGGCCTACTGATGCAGAGACTGCTGCTACACTGGTCGTCTTTATCTGCATCTGTTCGTGTGTAAGTGATAGGAGAGCTAGGTCATCTGCGAAGTCCAAATCGTCTAATTGGTTCTGAGCTGTCCATTGTATTCCGTGTTTTCCTTCAGATGTTGAGGTCTTCATAATCCAGTCGACCACCAGAAGAAAGAGGAAGGGAGAGAGTAAACAGCCTTGTCTGACTCCGGTCCTTACTTGGAATGCATCTGTCAGCTGTCCTCCATGCACTACTTTGCACTGTAGTCCGTCGTATGAGTTCCGGATAATATTGACAATCTTCTCAGGAACTCCGTAGTGTCGAAGAAGTTTCCATAACGTTCTCCTATCTACACTGTCGAATGCCTTTTCATAATCAATGAAGTTGATGTATAATGATGAGTTCCACTCAACTGATTGTTCGACGATGATCCGTAGTGTTGCAATTTGGTCTGTGCACGACCGATCCTTACGGAATCCAGCTTGTTGATCTCGAAGTTGAGCGTCTACTGCATCCTTCATCCGGTTCAGCAACACTCTGTTGAAGACTTTCCCTGGTATTGACAGTAGTGTAATGCCTCTGTAGTTTTCACATTTGCTCAGATCTCCTTTCTTTGGAATCTTGACGAGGTGTCCTTCTTTCCAGTCCATCGGCACTTGTTCCTCCTCCCAAATCTTTTTGAATAGAAGGTAAAGCATGCTTGTGGTTGTTTCGATGTCTGATTTCAGTGCTTCAGCTGGTATGTTGTCTGGTCCTGCTGCTTTCCCGATCTTGATTTGTCTGACGGCCATTCTAATTTCTTCCGTAGTTGGTGGATTGACATCTATAGGAAGATCTATGTGTGCTGCTTCGATGTCCGGTGAATTCATTGGAGCCGGCCTATTCAGGAGTTCCTCGAAGTATTCTACCCATCTGTTACGCTGTTGTTGAATTTCGGTGATTGGCTTGCCTTCTTTGTCTTTGACCGGCCTCTCTGGTTTACTGTATTTCCCTGATAGTTTCTTCGTTGTATCGTAAAGCTGTTTCATATTTCCTTCTCTAGCAGCTTTTTCTGCCGTCGTTGCTAATTCTTCCACGTATTTCTTCTTGTCGGCTCTAATGCTCCTCTTCACTTGTTTGTTTGCTTCTATGTATTCAGCTTGTGCTTGGACTTTCTCTGCTCGTGTTCGGCTGTTGTTTATTGCTGCCTTCTTGTTCTTCCTTTCTTTGATCTTGTCCAGTGTTTCTGTAGAGATCCATTCCTTATGATGGTGTTTCTTTAGACCCAGAACCTCTTGACACGTTGAAGTCAATGTTTCTTTGATGCCTTTCCAGTTGTCCTCCATAGTACTTTCTTCTTCTTTCAGTAGATCTTGTAAGGCTTGGAACCTGTTGTTGAGAGCTATCTTGAATTCATTGAGTTTGTCAGTATCTCGAAGGAAGGCTGTATTGAACCTTTGTATTGCTGTTTGTCCACTTGTCCAGTTCTTTTTTAGCTTCAGTTTCAAATTGGCTACAACTAGGTGGTGATCTGAAGCTACGTCAGCACCTCTCCTGGTTCTCACATCTTCCATTGTCCTTCGGAATTTTTTGTTGATGCAAATATGATCTATTTGGTTCTCTGTAGTGTGGTCCGGTGAGATCCATGTAGCCTTGTGTATACGCTTGTGTGGAAATATTGTGCCTCCTATGACCAATTTGTTGAATGCACACAAATTTGAAAATCGTTCTCCATTTTCGTTTCTTTCTCCCAGTCCATGTCGTCCCATAATATCTTCATATCCAGTGTTGTCTATTCCAACTTTGGCATTTAGATCTCCCATCAGAATAGTTAGGTCCTTTCTTGGGCATTTCTCAATGATTGACTGCAGCCGCTCGTAGAACTGATCTTTAATGTCGTCGTTGCTATCATTGGTGGGTGCATAACATTGGATAATATTCATTAAGATCCCCTCCTTCTTTGTTTTGAATGATGCTTTGATGATTCTGGATCCGTGAGATTCCCATCCTACAAGTGCGTTTCGTGCTACTTTGGACAGCATAAGAGCGACTCCCTGAGTGTGTGGAGCATTGTCCTCTTCGTGACCGGAGTAAAGCAGCATCTCTCCCGTAGCTAGCCTTTTCTGTCCAGCTTGGGTCCAGTGGGTTTCGCTGATTCCCAGTACTGCTAAGTTGTATCTCCTCATTTCCATTGATATTTGACTGGTCTTCCCGGTTTCCCACATTGTTCGAACGTTCCATGTACCTATAAAAATTTTTGCTCTGGTTGTTAGAAGGGACATCGGCCTCGTGGCTTCCGAAGGAACTCGGCTTTCACCATGAAGCGTCATAATTCTTCTAAATGGAGACCTTCTAACTCCCAGGGCAGAGTTAAAATGGTTTGGATTTTTTTTTCTGGTAAGCGTTTTTCTAGCGAGTTAGTTTTCTACGGGATGGGGACGCTAACCCCATGCCCAACCCTCCTCCTTTACCCGGGCTTGGGACCGGCAGCAACCCTATAAGAGCTACAGGCGGAGTTATAATAAACTACATGAGGCATGTCATACTGAGCATATAGTTCAGATGGATTTCTAATACAAGAATACTGTATCTTGAATAAACATCTCACCCATTCAAATAAATCAATCTCATATCGCATAAATTATTCACAGCGGTAACCATAGATGAACACCATATTGAAAAGTCATCATGGAAGTACTGTTAACCGTCAATTACAATGAGTAGAGGAATGTAATTTTGCCTTTCTATCTCTTTATATCATTTTCAATAGGCTAATTCAAATCAATCGGATATTCATCAAACTACTCAAAGTCAACTGGTAAGTGTAATGAAATACGATTTGTACAACCTCATTATCTTAATAGTAGCTGAATATCCCACAGATAGTTAAAGTATTTGACAAAACAATTGATTTCCATTTACACATTAGTATACAATAATTCCTGTATACTATTGTATCACTAATACAGTCCACAATAGTATAACCTCAAATGACTAGCAGTTGTATGGCATTCACAAGAATACTCCGTAAGCATGATGACGTATGTCGCACAACACTGGTCAGGGATTCCAAACACTTTTTGTTGGAGCTTTGTTCTCTGAGCTGGATGGTTTAGTCGTGTAGCGTTCATCGTTCTTCTAAACGACATCACCAGCACAAACTTCCACCTCAGCTACAAATCTTCTCCACCATCCCGAAATCATATGAGCCTAGTACGGTTTCAAACACTATTTTCACAAACCACACACAAATGATGAAATCATGTAAAAGTTATGATTTCATTACTCATAGTGAAAATCACATTCATAGTGTAGTCGATCAATGAAAACTATCCAGTAGATGTGTCAATGCGTTTATATGAGAAGTATATTGCAACGTGAATGAAGTGTTCGAAGATTCTGAAGATTTCAGATGGGAACCGAATTGAACAGACCCTGCTCATTCACTCACCGAAGAGTAATGAATCTTTTATGCATCTAATGAATTTGACGGTTTGTGAGAATCTACTTTTCAGTAAGACTGACTAGATGAGCTACAAGACGTCATAACACATAACAAAATTGTTTCAAGCGAACTTTTTATTTCAGTAGACCTATTCTAATTCTATTCATTTTGTCAGTGTCAAGTTACTGCTATCATGTACCATATTCCAACTGACATTTTTTCGTGTCTAGTTCATAGGTGATTTGAGGAGTTTTAAACCTGTGAGATTATCATTGGTTGGTCGATTTATTCAACAGAAGATTTATAAACGATATTGAGAACGTTTAAGTAACCAAACATTTCGCATGATCTGAAGCCATTGAAAATCAAAACACCTTGATGATAACATCTGAGACAGGATCAATCATGCGATTGTGTTTTTAACCACGGAAATTGTAAAACAGATATCTACTGATGGATGAAACAGGGAGAAATTCTGAACAATGTACAAATAAGATAAAATTTTAAAGTTTGACTACAATTGATGAAAACATTCTATTGACTTATTTCTAATCATGATAATAAACAGAGAAGTATTGGATGTTTAAAGATTATTGCTCACATTGACAGTTAAAATCACATTCTACATCATAGTTTAAATGAATAATGACAGTTCATTTCGATAGTGTAATAAGAAGACGAAGATTATCAGAGCTTTGTGATGATATATTAGCACAATATTAGTACAAAACAGTCAGTCAGTCAGTGGTCCTGAGTGCTATTAGAGGTATGAGGGCGGTTATCACTTCCCGGTTGCCCACACCGTGGAAGGATTGTTCTGGAGGTACATGAAAAGGAAATTGGATTAGAGGTGGTCTTAGTGACCTGGGAGCGTGACCACAGTGCCTAAGGGACAACTGCTTGAGGTCGGTCACAAAATAACGTATACTAAGGTTGATGAAAGCCAAAGACAAACAAACATTCAAACTCCTATTGTGTATTCTGTAAACAGTTTGTTCTCATCTTATACCGAACTTGGTAATATTAACTTATTATGCAGAGTGATTAAGTTTCAAACTGTTTTCACATGATTTCTTTATTATCCTCATCTACTCTCACCCCCAATTTCTAGTCTAGTTGACTTAACAAGTATATGATGTGTGATTAGATTGTTCGAAATGTATTGTTCTAATATATCATCACATAGTTTTGATAATCTTCGTCTCCTTATTATGCTATCGACATTTATCAACGGGACTAATTGCTTTAAATGACATTTAAGTTACATTTACAATAATAGATGGGACTCATGATCTCAACTGTTGAAATGACTACAATCTCCACAAAACCCCTTCTGATAGTAATCAACATATGCTCACTAGTGACTGGCTTCAAGAGATATATCCTGGAGTTCTAGTGAGGAGCAGTGACCAGTGGAGTTGAACTGGGTCAGTTGTGAGATAGTAACTCACTGATGACAATGGTGGATGTGTAGCTCAGTTTCGTGGATTAGTTGAAGCTAGACATTAACACCGTTGGATACCCGCCGACTCAGTGGTCTAGTTGGCTAAGCGCCCAGCGCGAGAGTAGTTAGTCCTGGGTTCGAATCCCAAAGGGCGTGGTCGTGGATGCGCACTGCTGAGGAGTCCCACAATAGGACGAAACAGCCGTCCAGTGTTTCCAAGTTCTCCATGTTGGTCTAGCTTCAATTGACTTATGATCTCAACTGTTGAAAATAATAGGTGGATTTTCCCATTGATATATGCATTATAGCGTTTTATTCGTTTAAAAGGAATCCTATTTCCCTGTCTTTCTCCTTATACTCCAGGATATCTCATCGATTTTAAGATTTTTCACAGATCATTGGCAGATTTTGTTAATACTAATCGCAGTTTCATTGATAAATTACAAACTTTTACAACTACTAACAATTTGCTTCAAGTTTACTATTAAAAAATGGTGCTTTTCTAAACGGAAAACACTTCGTCAGGCTGGTGAATGGGCAGTTGTCACTGGTGCATCATCAGGTATTGGTAAAGCGTATGCAGAAGAACTGGCCAAAGAAGGTCTCAATATCATGCTTATCAGTAATGATGAAGAACAACTATCAACCGCTGCTAATCAAATCGCAAATACCTACAATGTTCAAACACGAATTGTTGTTGCAGATTTTACTAAAGTAATATCCATTCTCAATGAATCTGTTAATCATATAATTTTAAATTATTGTCATTGACTTAAGTAATCAGTTCGATTTGTCACTCGGTAGTGTTTGAATAGATTGACAGAAGTTGTGCATCACTAGAGACTTTGTTCATGAAGTGATAGATTGTTAGTCGAGTTATTACTGACATTTGAGTCATGTGGTCATGTCAAAATGATCATCAATGATAACATGCATTTGAATGCAGAAATGCCGTGACATACAATGTCATTCATTCAGTGAACAGATGCGAATGTGAAATAACTCACAAACACCATTAAATCGAGGCGAGTAAATGAATGTGTGTGCATATACATTGTCATACGTTCTATACATCACTGCATTCATAATGAACTAACGAGTAATTGTGAAGTGCTTTATATGCAGTATCGATGGTTTTCTGCCTTCCCCAGTTGATGAGGTGTAACGGTGATTAGTCACCAAGTGTCTGTTTAGTTTCGAGTAGTGTGAAGAAAATAGAAAGATAATTGCAATCGATATAGAGTGAGAGAAAGATAGAGAGGCAGTTGACGTGTCTGCAATGATGATAATACAAGATAAATTTCTAGATAAATATTTTCGCTGTGTAACTTTTGCCAACTTCACTAAACACTTCAGCGGTCAATGTCTCACTTTATCCTTTCACTTGCTTAACTACTACGTTCACACAATCAGTTGCATCAAGCTACACTGCATAATATCAACATTCGAACGGGACAAATTCACATTGAATATATGAGAATGAGGAATGTTTTGTGATTTGTGTGGTTAATCTGTTGTAACGTATATCAGTTTGTTGTTGACTGTTAATGAGTTTAAGACAACAGAAAGATTTCAGTAAGAGTATCGATGATGTGTATGTGAATATTTAGTTGAATAGTTCTATGTTGACGTGTTTTATATACCGAATTGATTGAAAGTACTTTAAATTTGTACAAAGTGTGAGACTAATGACAGATTCACATTACACTGGAGAAATACCAGCTGAATTGTTGTTGTCTGTTGGTGATCACTCACCATGACCAACGTATCGTTATATTAGTAAGTGAGTAAACTATTGATTGATATAATCAGATTTCAGTTGAAGGTATTCGTATGCATCAAGAGAGTAAGGTTGACTGTCAGTCAAATGGTGTTTCGTGAATAGCTCTGTATAAACAGAAATTGAAAATATCATTACACATATTATTACATACATTTGTAAACACAGAGATAGACAGGGAACATTTTAACGTCAATCTCATCACCGGAAATAACATGACGTTTCTTCAATTTGATACTAAGGCATTTACATACGATCCATCCAAACTGACAAACACTGATTAGATTTCAGTCGTAAATATTGGAGATGGAACGTGTCTCAAATTCATCTACAATTCACCATCCAAGCACATCAGAATATCTTGACATTTTTGAAATTTGATCAAATATTCAAACAGTAAAACACTTAAGAAACATTCAAATGATCAACTTCCACCAATCTTGTGTTCTCTTTTGTTTAGAATGATGTTTATGAAATCATAAGACCTGCTATTGATCAATTATCTACAATAGGTTGTTTAGTTAACAATGTTGGCATGGGATTACCCACTGTATTGTTTGCTGGTGAAGTGAATTCTCCGAATGAAGGATCAATCAGAAATATCATTCATTGTAACATCTTGTCTACAGTCATGATGACAAGCATCATTCTGCCTAAAATGTTAACACAGAAAGGACCTAATCCTGGTATCATCAACATTGCATCTTATACAGCTTTGAAATTATTTCCTTATGTTACAGTGTACGCTTCAACCAAAGCATTTGTTGCCCAATTCTCTAGATGTCTAGCTGCAGAAAAGTATAAAAAGAATGTGATTATACAAACGATTTGTCCATTATTTGTATCTACAAATATGAGCAATTTAATGAAAACTTCATATTTTATACCAACTGCTAAAGTCTTTGCTAAAAGTGCATTGGATATGTTCGGTGTTGAACAACAAACTAATGGTTATTTTCCACATGAGTTAAAAGCATATTTTTACGATATGTTACCGACATCACTTCGTTTATTAATTATAAAATCAGTATCTAATTCAGCACGAAGAAAGCCTTGATTCATTTAACCGAAATCATCATCATCATCATCATCATCATCATTCAAAGCATCATCATCATGAACCTGATCATCCTCATCGTCATCATCCAAAGCATCATCATCATCGTCATCATACAAGGCATCATCATCATCCTCTCATGATCTTTTCTCTTTCAAACTAATCAGTAATTGGCTTAACACATCAATTTCACTATCTTAATTAATCGAAAAACACGTTCGTACATGACAATTTATTAATTCCATACATTTTATCATTGTCATTTCCAATGTATATGGTTTTACAAAGTGAAACTTTGGCTGATCAGTCTATGTGCCTTTCATTTGTAGTTGTTAGAGAAAAAAAGATACATGTAAATGAACAATCTTGTTTTCATTTTGATCCCAATCATGTTTTACTTTAATATACAGTCATCTTTATATGCAAATATGAAGCATTATGGGAAATCACAATGAAATAATTAGTTAATTGTTAATATTCTCAGAAGGGGTTTGTGGAGATTTTAAAAATTTCACAGATTGAAATCACGAGTTAACTAAAGCTAGAGCACCATGGAAAACCTGGAAGCACTAGAAGGCCGTTTCATCCTAGTATGGGACTCCTCAGCAGTGCGCATCCACGATATCGCACCTCGCGAGATTCCACCCGCAAGACATCAGCTCGCTGAAGACAATGGTATACAGTGGCGCAACTTCGTGGATTGGTTGAAGTTGGACATTAACACCATCGGATGCCAGCCGGCTGAGTGTTCTAGTTGGTTAAGCGCTTGGCGAGGAAGTGATAGGTCGTGGGTTCGAATCTCGCCGGGTGCGGGGTCGTGTGCTCGAACTGCCGAGGGGTCCCATACTAGGACGAAACGGCCGTCCAGTGAAACTTCCATCTTTTCCATGGTGGTCCAGCTGCAATTGACTTATGATATCAATCTGTTAATATTCTATTCAATGCATGTTATGCATTATGGCAAGTTATTATATATCACATGATAAGTCAAATAATCAGAATACGATTTATACAATCTTAACGCCATACCACAACAATAACGCATTTGCCAGTATAAGCAGTCTAGTCTCTTTATCAGTCCTTTTTCTGACTATCACTGTCAGTTGAGTCCAGAACAATGGTAACAGATTCAATTGTACAAATCGCTTATTCAAACATAATTGGTTTATGTACAATCAAACCAAACCATATCATAAAATAAAAATTAACAATTGTACAAAACCATATCAGAAAGTGGCTTTGATTGTGAGAGACTGAAATTAATAAACTGGGTATAAGGTTGTAATGTGGTGTCGCGTCGCGATTGACTATGATCACCACTATAGGTAGATTACATGTCAGTTATTAGGTTGGATCCCTCCGTAGGCCGAAAACCAGAAGGTAGTTAACGGTTGTAATAAGATATATTTGTCGACAATCTCGTGGTATCGACATAATACTGAGATCGTGGTAAAGTTCACAATCGGAACTATTAAATGTACACGAGTCCGTGCAAGGTTACAGTTAACGGAAGAATGTATGTTTTTAGTACACCTAAACAAACAGGTACAGTAAAACAATCACTAGTACAATTGGTTATAATCATAATTGTTTCTCTTATACCAAACGCGTTCTTTTCATAAAAGTAAGTCACTACAAGAGCACTAGGCTAGAAAGGGTTTACACTTTCGATACACAACGCTTTCGTACGTGAAACTGATCGGCAAACATGCAAATGTGGGACAAAAGGGTTGGTAGAACAGAAAGCGATCGTTGATCCTTGAGTTGCCACCGAAGGTCTTTTATTTAGAACGATACTACAACGTAACAATAGTAAACTGTGCAATAATGGTCTATAGTTCAAAATAAAGTAATCTAGTTACTGAGTCGTTACACAACAAGAATATATGTGCAATTTTATTCCATTAACAACTTATGGCAGTTAGAAATAACTTATTCTTCGTATATTGGTGTGTTAAAACAAACAAGGAATTAGATAAGTTATTGGAATATCTAGATTGCATGAACAAGCAGCTTACACTCACTTTCAAAACGTGAGTGTGATTATGCATTATGTTTGAGAGGCTTGACTTTTCTAGAGCGAAAATGTTCACTGTTGTCTGAATATTTGCTGGCACTCTCCATAGGTAATATTTTCATTCTGCTATCCTACCATTACTTAACTAACAGATGAAGTCAGCTTTCAATATGTGGTCTAATGTACATCCATTAAAGATAATTAAATAATAATGCGACGAATTGAAGGCATCATATGAAGCTAAATGAATAAAGAATGTTGAAAATGAGATACATTTCGGTGGGTTTGACACTTTCTGGCTCATCAAAACCCTTCAGCAACCGTTGAGATCAATGATATTAAAAGACAAATTACAAGTTGTTGGAAAAAACATGACAGGTTCGTTTGAGATTTTAACGAAACCGCGAAACTGATCTTAAGTTATTTTCTGTAATAAATTTGCCAATACTGGAAATCTAGTGAAAGGCCTCGAGCAGTTAATTTCAATCTGTTTGGGGTATAGAACACTTATCTTTCTCAGACAATGGATGAGGGTTGTGAAGCATCGTGAATTGGTTGAAATTAGACATTAACATCTTTGGGTGTTAGCTCACTGGTGTATTGGTTTTGGATTTGAACGTGAGACTCAATGTCGTAGGTTCTGTTCTCATAGGTGAGGTCGTGGATGCACACTGCTGAGGAAGCACATACTTGGAGGAATGGGCTTTCCAGTGCATCCACATCCTCAGTGGTTTTCCTGATATGACCGGTTCGTAATTTTAAAATTTGGAAACTCTATTCTTCACAGTTTGGTGCATTAAGACTTAACTGTTGACTGATTGCATAAAATGACACAAATCACACTGTAACTCTTCATCTTATTTTCATCAGTTGTAAATTGGTGGTGGGATCAATGTTTCGTACATGGATAAGATTTCATTCTCATTCCTCCTTTTTTTCTTACATGAAATCACATAGGTCATGTTTCGTTGTAAAGATTAGCACGTATCAGTTTGTCCTCAGTCACTATAGACGACCATTTTATCAGAAGTGATTGTATTACATCAAAATACGATAATAATTTGAAGTCATTTGTTAGTATAACTAAATGTTATCAGTACAGAGAGATTTGTGGCGATTACAGGATTTTTATAGTTCAAATTACGAACTGATTGTAGCTAGGAGACCATTGAAGATCCGAGAACACTGAGCGGACGTCTATTGCTAGTGAAGAACTCGACCAACTACCCTGGGATTAAACATAACTTTTCAATGAGTGAGAATATCATGACTGATGACAGAAGATTACTGCTGCGCTCTCTGGAGGATGGGCTATTGTTTCACGTTTGAATCATTGCACATCAACTAATTGATCTGTCACTGGAGTACCGGTCTGGAGATCTGCAGATTGTGATTGCGATTGATAGTGAGGTCATTGCTGTCTTCAAGTTCCAAGGTAGGAAGGAAGATGTTCTCATCTTCTTTTACCAAAGCAGTAAGTTAATTGCCAAACTCGTAAACACACAATAGGCAAGTTTACCTTACAAACGGAATATTTATGCGCCGTTTTCAATGAAAACAATAACAAAATATATTTAAGGGAACTATAAACCTTCTAAACCAAAACATATGAACAGTAGGTGTCAAATAGTATGTTGATCATGGTTTCATAATCTCTTGTTGTTTATTCCTTCACTTGTTCACAACCAGTACCCTTGAAAATCTGAAGTGTAAGTGTGTAATGATGGCCAAAAAGGTTTGTGGAGATTTTAGAAATTTCACCGATTGAAATCATGACTAAATTGAAGCTAGACCTATCAGACTCGAGACAGGAGCCTAACCAACTAGACCACTGAGCATGGGTTCGAATCTCGTGGAATGCGGGATCGTGGATGCACACTGCTGAGGAGTCTCATACTAGGACGAAACGACCATCCAGTGAAACTTCCATCTTTTCCATGGTGGTCTAGCTTCAATCGACTCATGATTTCATTCTGTGATAATCGCCAAAATCAAGAAATTAAATACGCTTTAGAAAATTTGTTTAAGAAATATTCTTTTATTGTACGTATACGAAGGTTAGACGATTCTGCAATGAAATGGGATTAGTCAATTTTTGTGATCTCATTAAAGTTTTCTAATGTTCAAGTTGATCTTTATAAAATATTCCAAATGTAATAAGTGTGTACTTTAGATTTCTGTTAGAAAGTGAGGATGTGACTGGTCACTAATAATAATAATCGTCATACTTACTTACTCACTTATGTCTGTTACTCCTCGTGAAGGAGCATAGGCCTCTCACCAGCCTGATGAATAATTCAGTTTGAAATACTGATATGTTCATTTTGTTATGGTAAGTGTTATCAAACACCATGCATACTAGTGGATGGGATAATCTCTTGTTTGACAGAAGGATTCATTTATACACGATCTGAATGACATAAAATGATAGACCGTGGCTACTTTCATTTGCATCTACGTGTTCAATTGATTTCTTTGACTAGATTCAGTGTGACGTTGTATATCAGGTTAGTTTACAATCATGATCATGGGTAACATATCCGTTGAAAATTGGCAGCAAAACAATTAAACAATAAGGATATTAACCAACCACTCTATTTCTGCTCATAGAATTTCCTCTAAACAATAATAAACTATCAGTGAATGGTTTTGTGGAGAACGTAGAATTTTCATACACTTTATATCAATAAAAGATCATGGAGAAATCCAGTTGATCACATCACCTATGAAAACAGCTGGAATTGAATAATATTGGTCAACCGTGAACACATGAAGAGACTTTCAAATTTCACAATTCGTCAACTGAAACCGAACAATAGATCTTTGAATAGATTTGACAGGACGTACAGCAATCCATCATAATTACTGTACATTCATCCATGTGAGGAAACCACAATGCATTTTACCTAACCACTATACTACTAACATGACAATCAGTAGCATGAAAGTTTGAGAGAATATTTATGCAACGAAATAGAGTGAT